CTCAAAATCGCAGTTAAAAAATAATTTCTCAACCGTAATAATGATTGCCTTATAAAGTAGACGTGAATGTATGTATGTAAATTCAGAGAACATAATAAGTGTGTTTGTGCACGATATTCATATTCATTGCAAGACCCTTGGCAGGCAGCGACGAACCCTCGGAGGAAACACAAGCGCAGCCGTCATCCCTCAACACCAGCCACGAGTTAAATCCAGCATACAATGGATATTGAGTTTTGCGACTTTGATGTGAGCCCTTACTTTTTGCGATGGGTGGCGAAGGTGGTGCTGTGTGTGCACAACAAAGGACCCGCCTCTCTTGTAGTACCCGGCCGGCGACAGACACTCGGCATGACAACGCGCACGGCTCATCCCTATGCAATGCATTTCGCCAACTGGAAAAAAAGTCAAGCCATTCAGCTCTTGAGCCGGACAATGGCCATTTGTTGATTAGGCGCGCACTTCTTGTGTGACCAGACACTGATCTCCTTTCTCCCCCCTAATGTAAGCAAAAAAGGTTTTGCAAGATTTTGCTCACTTTTAAGTGAGAACCAGCAATTCAAGGAACATCATCCGTTGCAATTTAATTATTTTGATCCTTTTTTTTGCCAAAATTACACTTTTGAAAATTGCTCTTGATTTAGACAGGTTTTTATGCATAGCCAAAAAAAATTGTGATCAATATTGAGGCAAAAAAATTTTGCTTATTCGGTTGAGAAAATCAGTTTTGTACTTAGTTTTCAATATTATATTATACTATAAAATTGCATTAAGCACACAAATATGATAGGCATTGTCTTTATTATCCAATATTATGAGTCATGATGACTCATGATTGATAAAATTAATTCAAATAAAAGTTTGAAGAAGTTGACACTCGAGGAGATGATCATGGAAATGAAGACTAGGGCTTTTCCTCGTTGCAAAAAATTGTTTTTATTCAAAAACAAACGGCTCTCAATCGATTTAATTTTCCTACAAAACTTCTTCCAAAACGTGTGGAGAAAGCATAAGCTAAAAAAATTTCCCATTTCTTCAAATGATACACGCATCTTTCTCAATTCACTTTTCTGGCTTGCCTCTTGCGTTTTTTATGACCCAAAGTACCAAATACATTTGTGTGACTTGCGAGATCCTCTCTGGCTGCTGGCCACACGCACTGTGTAACTCTCGATAAATTTATGTAATGGAAAAGTGTTTGTGTAAGAGAATAAGCTATATCATGGCATGGTTTTACACGGCAGCATAACACACTGCGCCCGGCACAACTTATTTTCTTTTTGTTCTTTACGGCGAGGCATAAATTTTGATACCTTCACGTGGAAAAAACGCCGAAAGCAAACGCGCACGAACCGGCAGCTCTGCTCTCTTGTGTCATAAAGAAGAAGAAAAACACCACGTCGAATGGCTGCCGAACTGAATGATTTTTATTTGTAAAAGCGATAAATCTAACGATGTGATGTGTAAAAAATAAAACTGCTGGGAAGGGAAAGAAGAGCGGCGGCTTGTCATTGATGTATTGATAAAAAGGAATCAAAGGGTACGAAACCGATTGTTATTCAAATGTCTATACTCGCGCGCGCTCTCTATCCGCTCGTGTACCTACGCAAATGCCTCTCGTTGAGTCGAGATCAGACCTTACACTTTATATATACCTCGCAATAAACACACGCATCAAAAATATATCCAAGTGAGAGGAGAGAAAGAGACTTATTCGGTTATATAGATGAGAAAGCTTTTGCCGCCGTGAGCATTACATTATTTATTTTCTCCTGCTCTTTTCCTCCACTTGCCCGTTTATTGATTGGTTTATGGTTTGATTTTATTGCGCCTTGTTTCTAATGAATCTGTTTTCATACGAAACTCTTCGATTTCAACCTCAGTCTACAAGTTGCAGGTGAATTTTTTTTAAATAAATAAATTTTTGCAAATAATATGGAGTGTACGAATAAACATTTAGTTATCATACATGATATGCTATACGCAGGTTGCACTTTATATATTTGTAAAAATAAAGCTTACCCTACAAAATTTAATAATCGTTGTGAAGTTATAAAATATGGAAAGAAAATGCGTTTCTATTACCTCAGTGAATATGGAATACATTAATTATTAGTTAAAATTGTCTCCAAATAAATTGCAAAAAATGTAATAAAGGATAAAAATAAAAGCATCCTCGTATTATTGTGGACGTCTTGCCGTATTCAATACATTTCTGATGGATTTCACATGAAGTACATGAAATCAATTGGAAACGGAATTATTAAAAAAATAAAAAATATTAACATGCAATGTAATTCAAGTTTTTAGCTTCACCAACTTTGGCCACATTGGCAGTGGAGCAAATTTATGTATATTTAATTGAACAATAATTGAAGTTTCATTGTAAAGAATAATCGTAAACGATTAATTTTATTACATAAATGTAAGCAGCACTACTTTCCAAGCAAATTATGATTATGTCTCACCAGCATAGTTTTGTAATGTCAAATTAGATAATTTGACTTAATAGCAATTCCATATAATTTTTTAATTCTAAGGAATTAATGAAAATTTGTAAAATAATTGCAAATTCAGTGTATTATAAATTGAAAGCTTCAAAATATCACTTATGATATTTTGTCCCTTCAATAGGCAAAAGAAAATTAATTAAAGAAAGTAAGATAAGCAAAATTAATTGCTTTTTGCGCATGGTGGTAGTTAACGGTAGTTAATGAATAAAAATCTCATCCTGTTGGTAAGCAACCTATATTGAGGGAAAGTGATGGCGATTTAAGCTGGGAGCCACGCACCAAATCTTTTTTCCTTCTCAACGTTTTTTACTGCGATTTGATTAGGGCGAGCTGGAATCGAATCGGAAAAAGAAAGACGCACACCTACCTGCCTTCCCTTTTCACCGACCTTTGTACTTGTTTGTTGACACGGACAAATCAATGGGGTCGGTTGGTGTGCGGACGGACGGGTATCGCCTTACCTGGTGCTAGTTGCCCAGCAGCACCTTCTTCCCTTTCTCGCTGACCAGAGAATATTGGCACGGCCGCCGCCTAACAAGAAGCGGCGGAAACCCCAAAGGCTCCTCCAGACTTTGCTCTCGCCGCAAATTCGACGCGCGGTGGCTGCTGCTGCTGCTGGCGACGACGTACTTTTCACCACCTAGTTGGACGAGCCCTCGTCGTACACACGGCCGCTCACCTGAGGGTGCCACTCAAATCATCGCGTTTCGCTCGTAAATAACTTGCAGGCGCAGCACCCTCTCCAATTTGCGGCTCCAGAGAGAGATATTTGTGGAGCGGCGCGTGTGAGACGCCCACACTTTGTGTTTGGCCGAGTTTTGCGATGCGTATTTTACACATCGACACCCACTCACCCTTTTCATCGGCAGGACAGAGATTAAAAACTTCATAAATTGCATTATTTTAATCATTTAAGACTAGATTTGCCAAGTTGTTACCATAGAATTCATAAATAGTTAGTAAAGTTATAATAAAAAAAATGTTAATTATTATTTATAATTTTAATTTCTAAAATTTAGTTATTACTATTTTTTTCCACTAAATTAAATTTTTCTCATTTTTTATGATAAATTTAAAGATTTACTTACAAAGTTTAAATAAAAACATTATCAAAAAATGTATTTTTAATTCGTAAATCAAGATCCCTCAATTTAGGAAGGGCAAAAAAATTTAATTTTAAACAAAAAACAAATATGAATCCTACAAGTTACACATTATGACAACAAGCCAACTCTGCTGCGCTATTGTTTTGCGTAATGAAGTAATTCTCCTATATTTTTAAATTTTCACGTTTATTATCATTGAATCTCTATGATTAGTTTCAGGCAAAGATTACCAGGATTCACTTGCAACTATAATATTTTTACACCAGTTTTACACAAAAAACGTGTGCATCAAAATAAGTCTCTCTCACTTTTTAATGTTTGACTATTTTAATTTATTTGTAACCCTTACAATCATGCAACTCAAAAATTCATAGATTGCCTTGTGGTACATTTGCAAATTGCAACTAAAATTGAACAACCTATCTCTGCTGGTTTTACACCAATTCTTGAAAAATTGATTGGATCAATTAATAAATTTCTTATCTGCTTTTAAATCATTTAATATAAATCATTTTATTTCCAAGTCCAGATGTATCATAGCTTTTTGAAAAATATAATTCTGTGACAAAAAACGAACAGCATAAGACAATCTATCATTCAAAATGTTTCCCCACAAAAGCATGTCCTTAAAATTTTAAAATTAAGTCGTTGGCATCTTAATCAAAGAAAAGAAATAGCGTAAAAATCAATTTTATAAATAAAATATCATTATTAAATTATGTTAAATTTTGTCTGTTGAATTAAAAATTGGAATTTCGTCATTAAAACTGGGGCTTCTATTAAAATCAATCAATTCATCACAAATGCCAAGGGGACTTCACATATTCTTTCTTTTATATTTTGTTCATTGTCTATCTAGCAAGTGCTGAGTTGTAAATTGAATATTGCACACACAAATAACAGGGCCACGCGGTTTATTACGCAGGGAAAATTGAGGAGGCAGGACAGCAGGCGTGCGACAGCGACACAAAAGAGCGCCGAAAATTCTTTGTTGGCCGCAGCAGCCCTCATGGTGTAGTAAAATTTGACGCTTTGTCGTGGTCGCCGCTGAAGCCTGGGGGTGCATTGTTGCACGTGCAGCTCGACAACAATGGCCTTCTCTTGATCGACGCACCTTTGGCGTTTTATTATGATTTTATTTTCGGGCATCCCTCTCCTCCTGAAACAAGCAAGGGGACCGCTGAGCCCTGCTGCAGTTTTGATTTTGAGGGACGGTTTAATGAGATTTGCGCATTTTAAGCTGGAAATTTATTGCTAGCAGACGCGCAAAATTTACAATGTGAAGCAGAACTGATCTGAGGACTTTAATTTGTTTAGGGGGAGAATCAGACATAAATCTTTATAAGTGAGGGCAATAAAATTAATTAAAGTACAAATAGAGAAAGACTCAGTTTTATTAAAATTATATTTATTTTGACACTGTTGATGTAACAAGGTATTAGATAAATTTGTTTAATTTTTGTATTATGTATAAAAGATGTATCCTGTTATTCCTGTTATGGGAAGCAATTTCCTTTGTGATTGTTTAATAAACACAATTTCCAACTAGTTAGAACAAAATAATAAATCATAATATAATAATTGTATGTAACAATATTTTATTCATACAAATAGTTTCAAAATTGTTCTTAATTTTTTTGGCACCTTTTAGAGAACAATAATTGCCATATCTTTAAATTTTCGTAGATTCGTATAATAACTCAAATAAATCGGTTTATTTCAATGCCATTTTTTGACAATGTAATTAATTAAAAAAAAAATTGTAACTCATAATACATTAAAAATACAAAATAAATTTAGCAAATTAATAATCTAAATTTAATTAACTTTCACAACTACTATCCACAGGCATATAAATCATGTTTTCTTCAATTTTATAAAACTATGTGACAAAAAAGTTACATCCTTTGGAAATGGAACTATTCTACTTAATTCATTTTTCATACCGGCTAGTTGAGCTGGATTTACACCTCACACCTTTGGTTTTAAATGTGGAGGAAAGATCAGCATGATAAAATAAAAACAACTTGATTTATTTACGAACTAAAGAGTTAAAGCTTAAATTAATCTTCATGGATTTTAAATTATGAACACAGGAGAAAAATAGCCATTACTCTATAAAAATGAATTTTCAATATACATTTCTGTTTGAACGCGCGTAATTAACGTCGCAACAAAAGAGCCGTGTGATGGCTCAGAGAATGCAGGCAATGCAGTGGGCACCGAGAGCATTAAAGAGCGCCCTTTTATGTGCTAATAAGGTTTATGCATCTCGCAGCTGCCGCCTCCCGTTTGCTTTCGGTGCATAAAACAATTAGCGCGCTCTCTGATAACCAAAGCGCACACCTTTGTTCCTCATTGTGCGTCTGCATAATGCACGTCCAGGCCAATTTTTGCATAATAAAGATTGCTTTGTTTAAAAAAGTCGATCTGCAGCCGGTAATTAGCAAGCTCGCGCGCCTGAGTAATGAACACAAAATGAAAATGGACAAATTTAAGTTCAAACATTCTTGCTCATAGCAAGCTATGATAATTATACAGCGGATTTTTAAATTTTATCACAAATTTTCCAATTTTTTAATTTTGTTCCTAATACAAAAACTATTCAGGTAAACATTGATCAAATTGGATCAAATCTTATGAGTCCTCTCTCTTAACAGCTTTTAACATAGTATAATAAGTGATAACTTTTTTCCCTCTTTCTAAAAATAACTAAATTTGAAATTAATAAAGAGCAATCAAATTAAAATAGAGGATCATTTATAAGATTTTGTTGATTTTTTTACAGTCCGAGGCTAAAGTTGAGACCATAACTTGGGGAACCAGGGCAGGAGCCTCCATTCAAACCGAAATCAAAGGCTGGCCGGCCTGCTGCATTTGTCCCAAGGCCCATACTGACGTTGGCGTTGCCGATTTGACCATTAATCCTTGGCGGGGCATTTCCCGTGACCATTGGCAAGACAGTTGAGGCAACTTGACTGGCAATGTCGGCAAAGGTGTTTCCCGAATTTGAAGTGTTCCTTCCGCGCGCACCTCCACCTGAAGAGCGTCCTTGGCCCTGGTGGCCGCCTCGGCCACTGCCCCTTGGGTTGTAGCCCCTGGAACCAGTGGAAGAACCATTTCTGCCGTTTGTTGCAGCTCTGGCACCGCTTTGCCACTGTTGCTGGTAACCCCCACCTCTGTTGCTTGGAATGTGTGCAGAACCAGAACCACCCTATTAAAAAAATTATGATAAAAAACATTGAAATTAATTTTAAACTTCAATTTTACACACCCTTTGGCTTTGAGTGCTTTGTGTGCTGTAATTATTATTATTGCTGGCTCTTCCACCTCCTCCAAAATTGGTGGTGAACTCAACATAAAAGGCAGGAATCACCTATTTATGATTAAAATTATAATGAATTTAAAATTGTTATATAATAATAAAGGTAAAAATAATACCTGATTGGGGTTGAAAATCACATAAATTGGCGCCGGTTTGCCGTTTTTCATCCCTTGTACCGAATGGAAGCCCTGAGGAAGGGTGGTCGGGTTTCTCGTTGAGAAGGACTTTCCTACTACAGCGCGGCAGACCAGCATTTTTCGCACACACGTCTCGCATTTTGGATTTTTATGAGAGTCACATCCAAATTTTGAAGGAAATGAAAATCGACTAGCGTTAATGACACTTTCCGTAAGGTACAAGCCTGTAAAAATAAAATTAATTGCAATGAGGAAAAAACAAATCAATGTGAAAGTACGACTTAAAAAAAGTCTTATGACGAATATGTATTTCACATGCAGATGCAATAGATTGACTAGCCCATGGCAAAAATTTTAATAAGCTCAAATTTTGATATATTAGAGCCCTTTAAAAAAAGTTAAAGTAAAAAATAATTAATTTAAATTACATTTGTATGTGAAAAATATTTTATTAAAAACTGGAATTTTAACATTTATTTGAAATGGGCGAATGGAATAATATAGAAAAACATAAGTTTAACAGCTTTCAATTAATTCCTTCTCCACAATACCTTTTAATATTAATTTTTTAGGCATCAGAAAAACTAGTAAACTGATGCAGAAGTTTTGGATTTAAGTGTTCGATATTGTCGTGAAATTTTAAAAGTCTAACTAATTATTGAAAAATATATTTTACCATTTCCAAAGTTTCCCTGTTTGGCATCTCGATGAAAATCCAAACCTCCGTTCACAATATCATCCATGTGAGGCGACGTGAGGAAAAGGTGCATTTCTCGAGCCCTTCCCGAACATTGGCTGGCCACTTCCGATTTGGAGTTGGAATAGTTGTGCCAGTGGGCGGTGTTCAAGATTCGGTTCATCCGTTGTACTCGGATGCCTTTGACGCACGAATTTGTGTCTTTTTTCACCTCATCGTTGGTCTTCTTGATCAGGGTTTTGAAATTATCTTCGTGCGTTCCCACAGGGCTGGTGGTGATCGAAGGTCTCGATGGACCGCCGGACGCATTGCCGAGATAAGAGGGCGCCGGTGTTGGTGAAGGTGGAGGTGATGGCGGTGGTACCGGCACACAGCCGTTGCTATTAGGCAGACTCATTTTTGCGAGACGAGTGAAATGGACAGTGCGATGGATGAGAATACACTTGATGCAAGCAGCGCTGAGCTTGCTGTTTTATCACCAAAGACTTTGACTTTTGGTAAAAGTCCCACTTGATTATGAGGTGGATCGTAATTAAATGGTATTGGCTGTGCTCGACTTTTTTCGCGACACTCGCGGACTCGCGAAAGAAAGTCTAATTCAAGCCAGTAACTGCAGAGCATGTGATTTTTACGTCATCTTAAAGCGGCGTGATATTGTAAATCATGAGTTCATCACCATTGAACAATGTACTTTTTACATGTTTCACAATCAATGAAACCAGCCTTGGTCTTAGACATAATTATATCTTTGTAAAATATTAAAAATCAATTAATAAAAAATAAAAGTTATAAATAATTTTACAATAAGGCAAATATTAAATTTGAATTGAAATAATATTTAATACAAAATTAATTTTTTTCGTCTAGCGTCTAGCATTTTTTTTAAATCATATTCATAAGCAATGTAAATTATATTGATAAGTACCAAAAAGAAATTAAAACAAAAGTTTATCAAATAATATATAAATAATAAATATACATATATATAGATATATAAAAATGTATCACCAATTGATAGCAATTATTATTTATTATCGAGTTTTTTGCAAGACAAGTGTCTTATCAGCCATTATTGTCAGTAATTATAAAACTTAAAGGGAAGCGAAGGGAAGGTTAAATACATTTTTTATTATATAGAGTAAGAAAATAAGTTTTTCCTAATTTTATTTTTATTTTTTAATTATTATGCCAATTGGAAATAAAACTTGAAACAACTTTCATTGCAATGTAGGGATTGGTAAAGGATAACATTAGTTGACATTTCATTATTTTGGAAATTGTAGCAAGAACATACTTCATAATTTCACCATTTGCTAGGACATTTTAGTTTTCAAAAAACCAAAAAAATCACCAATTTTCTGAAAATTCAAACATAATAAAGCAAAATACACTTAAAACACATTTTTTACTTCAAATTTTTAGAAATATTTATCGTTTAACCTGTTTCATTAAAAAAAAAATGGGTAAGGGTTGACAAATTAAATTTTGTGGCCCAACCATAAATGATTTTTCATTGAAAATTGGCGCTTTATTTTGCTTTTTTATACAACGCTAATCCTGCAGCAACTCTCGCTTCCACAAATTTAGGAAGCACGCACGAGACGCGCACTTTATTGAATAATTGTCTGATAGGTACTTAAAGCAGGGGTGGATGTGGCCAGATGAGCCCCGGAGAGGGTTGCTGCGCTTTGACGCGCCCTTTCTCTTCTTATTTCACGAAATATTTGGAGCGGCCCTTCCTCTTCACTGACCCTCCAAAGCCTCAGTCAGAAGGTATAATTGCATTACTTGCATGACGATACTGCCGACAATTAACATTTGGGGCGCAGCCGGTCTTGACAAAGGACACGACGCACTAACTTTTCGCCCCTTTGCCGCCGGGAGCCTTTAGCGAATTAACTTACAATTAAGCACAAGTGGGCACATAATTAACAGCTCTCCGCAGCAGCACGGCTTTTGGCCTAATTGTGAAATATTTCGCTGCCCTGTGCGAATTTTATTTTGCCATTCTACTAATCTGCTTTTTATTGAAGTACCAGTTTTTGGCACAGTTTGATGATTATACGAACCGCGGAGAGGAAGAGGAATTGATAAGATAATTATTTACGCAGCAGACTCTGCGCCTTTAAGATTACAGTACCCACAGCAAGGTCAAAGTTATAATATTACCATTGTTTATTCTTCACAATATTTAGACTTCTATTATAACTATATTATAACTCCAGTTACTATTTTTACCTAGAAAAGAAACTGTATAATTATTGCACGTTAATAACTATATTGTAAAACAAAACAAAAATTAAATCTGAAATGCTGAATTAATGTTCGTCATTTTTATGTTATATTTGAGAGTTTAGCCAATAATCACAAAATTCAAGGAAAATAACAAATTCTACCTACGGAAAAATGTGTATATTAGCTATTTTGTAATATTTCAGCTGACTTTGTTCTCCTAATCAAATTAAAAAGCCTAGGATATTAAAAAAAAAATCTTAACCTCATCCTATTTGTATAAAAAAATTACGTCTATATTGCAACGAATGGTGTCTACCATATAACTTTGCCTTTTTCGCTTAAAAATCACAAATTATTAATTAATCAAGCACATTCTTGAACGTATAGCAAGTTTATATTTTGCAAAACTTTTCAAAAATACATATATAAATAATAAAAAAATAACAATAATAAATAATAATATCCAAAAAAATGACCTCAATTTTTTGATGCAATGTATCCTGACATGATTTTAAAATTAATCTTTACCACTTTGATTCAGTGATTGGAAAAAAATTTTATGCTCTTTAGAATAAAATAATTTCACTGAAAAATTATATTTTATTAAATTTTACATAGAAATTATTTGCTCAAAAAACTCCAATCGGAGCTCTGACAATATTATTGTACTTACAGACTGTACATTTACTCATGAATCAATAATTACTCTATACGCTCGCCTGTAAGGTGACTTAGGCAAGCAGCAAGTCCAGAGTGGTGAACGGCTTTATTGAATCACAACCGGCGGCCGCACAAGCATAAATTCATGCATTTATGTGCAGCAGGCCGCCACTTCCCTTGCTGGTGGGGCGTGTAATATATTGTTCGGCGGCTTAAGTAGTTTAATAATGGACTGTTTGCATGCAGCAGCACAACGGGCATAATGCACCTCGGCCGACACACTCGCACTCCACATAATGCCCAACCTGGATGAGAACTGGATGCTCCCGTATGGTTAATTATTGCCCTCGGGAGGGAGAGCAATGCATGCATGCACTCTGCATTTCCAAGAAGAAAGCAGCGACTAAGTTGCAAAAAGCTCTGAAAGCTAATATGAAAAGTTTAATTAACAACCTTCAGCACAACACATGCTCCTCTTCTGTTTCAATTCCGCTTGAATGCATACAACCTCCTTCTGCTCATTAAACTCATGATTTAATCACAATTTTGTTTTGAAATGTTGTTCATTGCGCTTAAATACATCTCACATTTTTATTAGATGATAGTTTATAACCAATATTATAGTCTATAACTAAAAATTTGTAAAATTTTGTAAAAAATAGTTTCCCAGACAAAAATATGTAAGAAGCACTGCAAATTTATTTATAGCCGAAAAAAAATTAAATGCACGAAGAGTAAAATGAAAATTGTCAGGTCCAACAGTTTTTTTCCACAACTTGCAAATTTGTTCTTATTTCGTACTAAGATAAAATTTTCTTAGCTAACTAATTGATCTGAATTTGCATTTCGGGGAACTTTGGTAGGGAGATCGACCAATAAAATAATAAAAAGAGTTATCATTTTTTATAATAAGAATTATTAATAATTCCCCATATTCTTTAATCAGTATCAACCGAGATAATAATCGTTTTGCCCTTTAACAGGTTGTATTGTAATTTGGAACATTTATTTCCCATTAGTGTCCGACGTGCCTATGCGGAAATCTTGAGCCCAGAAAAAAAAGCTTGAAATTAATCCCAGAGCGCGAGTCGTGATTTTGCAGGTTCTTGAGAGCCAAACTGGGCTTTGGTTGAGTTAAAACAATATTTGATGAGGACCGTGTCATTTGCTGGAGGAAACTCGGCACTCCGAGAGTAGCGGCAGACACTCTTAGCAGACAGAGCGAGCCCTATAATTTCTACGTCACTGCTCTCCGCTGCAGATTACGAGGAATGTTTCTTCCCACTTGGGCTCCCGGGGGCAGCAAAGCGTTGAATTTTTAACTCGTTACCTGTGCTCCGACTGCATCTTGCCCAGGGCGATTCAATCATGGTGATTTTAAAAAGGTGGGATCAGGGAGAAGGAAGGAAGGTGGTTAATTCGGTTAACTCCACGCGGAGTGTTATGAAAATAAGTTTAAAACTAAACTGTTATAACTTTTTTAATTAGAAATTAATTGAAGGAGAACTTTCTTCCCATCAACAAATACTTTTATTTTTAATTAATTGATTAATTAATTAATTAGAGGATTACTACAGATTATTGGTAATTATTCATTCTCTTCTCATAAGCTCAGATTTTAGGTTACTTTGCGGTCCAAATTTCATATATAACATTTTACGTTCTCTGATTTATAAATATATAAAATGAATAAATATTTATTCAATTATTCTCCATCTGATATACATGAATACACAGCAAAAAATTTCACATAAAAAGTATAGAAAAAGCTGAAAATAAATTTGAAAAGAGACACATATTGTTAATGAGGGGGTGAATGGTGAATTGGCTTTTCGCAAGCAAACAACTTGCTAAAGCACAGCACACTTCTTCACAAGAGGGCACCGGCTGCTGAGAGCAATAAAAAATGGGGTGGGGGGCACCTAATTCATTTTAAGTATAAATTTTGTGATATACTTATTCGATTTGAGCTGGCAACTAGTATGAACATTTTTTTTATCCACAATATTTCACACCTGAACACGAAAAAGTTGTAAAAAAAAATCTGTGTGATTTAATACTAAAAACCTAATTAAATACTCTACAAGTTTTTAACTTAAAAATTCCAATTAATTATAATAGAAATGATTAAAAATTTATAACTAAATTTAATATAATAAAATTTAAAACAATATAAACATCATTAAACATTTTCATAAAACGTGATAAAATAACTCTCATTATAAATTTAAAAATAATTTTTAAAGACTGCTAATTTTACTTAAAACAATTCTGTATTTATTAGACTTTGTTTTGAAATTTTTTTGTCTTTTTCACAGGCGCGATAAATTAAGATTGAATACAAAAAGTTGCATAGTGTATTTTTACAAAACCAAAAATCATGCTTTCAGTTGCTTTTATCACTGATTTTAATACCAAACACAAAATGTTCCCAACTCAACCGCTGTGGAAGTCAATGTAATTAACATAAATAACCAGCCATTTAGAGAGGTTATCGCTGCCATCCCCTCTGCTTTCATATATGCTCGTGATAATTAACATAATCCCAAGCACCTCCTCTAACATGCTCAAGATTTGCCGCTCTAGTTGTCTTGAAAGCAGGATTCTCCGCGCGTCTTCTATACCCTTTTTGATTCTAAAAGATGCACACTCTGGTAAATAAAGCTGAATGGAGGGAATTTTTAATTTGAAGCGCGCCCGTAATTACGGCGACGAGCACGAGGCTTTTAATTAATTATTGCTCTTAATTAAAAAGACGTGACTCTCGCAAAGCTCGTCGAGATGTAACACATCCACGAACTCTGACATGCATTGCATGCATGAACACATCTTTCCATGCACGATGCTGACTGAGAATCCGTTTGTAAACACCCCGTGCATGTTTACGAGTCGTCTGCAAAGTTTACAATGAAATGCAATTAAGG